GTGCTTCCGGTGAGGTCACCGGAAGCACTTTTTCATCAAAAAAGATGGCGGCGCCCAGCAACCAGCGGGGCCCGGTAGGACTTGTTCCGCGGACCGGTACCGGTCCCCGGACCGGTGGTTGGGGACCCCTGATATAGAACACCTGATGAGGAAACTGAATGGGTTTGGGGCTTTGGCAGGTTTCAAAATAAACAGAAAACAACAATGTTGACTAAGAATATGTCTTCTCAGGATAGTAATATAGTGAATAAAAAGTTGGGCTTTAGGGGCGAGAAAAAGGTGAAACATTTAGAGGTTAAGTTGACAAATACAAACATAAAACTGATTGAAAATAACTACGTTCCTCTTTGGAGGGATATTAAACAAGTTTACAAAGATGAGATAAGTTGCATTTATCATTATTTTGGATATAATGTGATGTTTGAACAATATGTGGACGAAGGGTTTAAATTTTACACTAAATTGTAATTTAAAAGAGAATTTTTATAAGATGATGTATTGTGCGTATTCAAACACCACATAAGCTATCTAAGATGTATAAAGGTATGTCAAATGAATGTTGGAAGTGTAAAAATAAAGAAGGGACTTTTTATCATCTATGGTGGACATGTGATAAAGCAAAAACATTTTGGAGTACGATTCACTCTAATACAGAAAATTCTGAAAATGGTGATAGAAATGAAACCAGAAGTTTTCCTTTTGGGACTAATGGACAAAGAACTAGAGAAAAAAATTGGAACTTTGCTACTACATATGTTGACAGCAGCAAGACTATTGTATACACAAAAATGGAAAGACACTTCGATACCTACCATGGAAGAATGGCTGCAGAAGTTGACGGAGTTGGCTGAAATGGCAAAACTGACTACCCTGATTAAAGAAAAAAAACATAAGTACTTTTGTTTCCACATGGAAACTGCTTCTGAATTTTGTGCTTGATGTGGAAAAGAATGTAACTTTGACTTGGGTTTTATAGATTAGATTGATTGATCTTTATAGAAATGACTTATTCATGTGTTTGGAAAAACAAAAAGCTGTGATTTGATGTTAATGTCCTATTCTACCGCAACAGAAAGAGTCGAAGTCAATGCTTCTTTTTCTTTTCTTTTCCCTACCTTTCCTCACTTCTCTCTCCCCCTTCCCCTCCCCCATTTCACTGCTCTTTTATTTACTTTTGTATTTTGCATTTGATAATACTTTATAACCTAATAAAAAATGTTTGGGAAAAAAACAACAACCTGAAACTTGGATTTGATAATGACATAATTCTTAGCTCTAAGGATTTAACATGCCCACTATAATATCAATAGAAAGATTAAGTAGAATATTAAACACAAGAATAAAAAATGTCTCAAATAACTCAGAAACTGAATGATTTAAAATTTCACCTATAACAAATGTCGTATCAATTTACAAGTTTACCATACATCTCCTTTTTTAAACAGTTTCAAAAGATGTCCAATTGGCATTAGATTTGAAAATACAGTTTTTATAGAGATTTTATGTAGAATTTAACTATAACTAGAGAGAATTTTATGCAGAAGAGGACAAAGATCATATATTCACATTTCTTCCTAATCTTCCAAAATATCTCAGTAATAATAAACATAAAAGTCTTCTTCTAGTTGAGCTTAGTTCCTGGTGCCTTAAGATATCTACAGTATGTGTCTTCACAACAGTATAAAAATAATTTGTTACAATTTGTTTCTTTTTTAACCTTCCCCATTTAACCAATAGCTCTGGCTTTTTTGGTAATTTCCCATGCAAATACTAACCAGGCCCAAGTCTGCTTAGCCTTTTGAGCTCAACAAAGGTTAGCTGGATGCTGCTACCTAGCTGGATTAATAATAAATTCCAGTCCCAATTGTCGTCATAATTTGAGGACCTGCATGTAACATACTGACCCACATCCAGGATGCATCCTTTCCTCTTCAGAATAGTTATTAGCTTTAATTGGATTGAACAATGAAACCTGACATATAAGGTTGTTTTTTTCAAAAAAACATAATATTAACCATATATTTAGGATCCTATATAAGCTAAACTATAGTTAGTCATCAAAACAAGCTATTTATTTCATTCACTGCAATATTATGTAAAATTATATATGATTACAGAAATTAAACATTTATCAAGTACTGTCAGTGTTAACAAGCACCTTTGCAAAAAGTCTAATATATTCAGAAAAATGTTTTACCTCTTTAGAGTCATCTATTCTTTCAAAGTAAACAAAAGCAAATCCTCTTGATCGTCCAGTCCGTTGATCATACACCACATTGACTCCACTCAATGGTCCATAACGGGAAAAAACTTCACGAAGATCCCTCTCAGTAGTATATAAGCTGAGGCCAAACACTCCAAGGCATGTATTAGGATCTGGATTAGCCTAAAATATACCAAGTTAAACTATTACATTTCTTATTGCTGACCATTAAAGCAATTACTTCATTTATACAGGTAGTCCTTGACTTACAATCACAATTGAGCCCAAAATTACTGTTGCTAAGCAAAGCACTTGAGTTTTGCCCCATTTTATGATTTTATGATTTTATGATTTTTTTTGCCAGTTAAGTGAATCACTGAAGTTAAGTGACTCATGCAGTTGTTAAGCAAATCTGGATTCCCCCATTGACTTTGTCAGAAGCTGGCTGGGATGCTACAGTGCAACTCTCATAAATACATGCCAATTGCCAAGTGTCTGAATTTTGACCATGTGACCATTGGGATGCTACAATGGTGGCAAGTGTGAAAAATGGCCATAAGTCTATTTTTTTCAGTGCTGTTATAACTTCAAACAGTCACTAAACAAATAGTTGTGCTGAGGGCTACCTGTACCTACATTCTTGTCCCAGGAACAGAGACAGCAAAATATTCCACAAAGTTGCACATTCTGAGCAGCATATAAATGGAAAAGAAATATGATTTGTTGGTACAGTGAATATAAAAAGTCTACACACCCCTGTTAAATTGCCAGGTTTTTGAGGTTTAAAAAAAAGTTAGACTGAGATAAATCACTTCAGAATTATTGTCCACCTTTAATATAACTTATAAACTGTATAATTCAATTGGAAAACAAACTGAAATCTGTTAGGTGAGTAAAACAAAAAACCCATAGTAACGTGGTTGCGTTAAGTGTGCATACCCTTAAACTAACACTCTGTTGAAGCACCTGTTGATTTTCTGACAGCAGTCAGTCATTTGGGGTAGGAGCCTATCAGCAGGACACATCTTCGCCTATTCTTCCTTGAAAAAGTGCTCCAAATCTGTCAGATTACAAGGGCATCTCCTGTACACAGCCCACAGATTTTAAATTGGATTCAGGTCCGGGCTCTGGCTGGGCCATTCCAAAACTTGGATCTTCTTCTGCTGAAGCCATTCTTTTGTTGATTTGGAGGTATGCTTTGGGTCGTTGTTGTGTTGAAAGGTTAAATTCCTCTTCAGTTTCAGCATTTTAGCAAAGGCCCGAAGGTTTTGTGCCAAAATCGACTGATTTTTGCAACTGTTCGTAATTTCTTCCACCTTGACTAAAGCCCCGGTTCCAGCTGAAGAAAAGCAGCCCCAAAGCATAATGCTGCCACCACGCTTCCCTGTTGGTATGGTGGTGTACTTTTGGTGATGCACAGTGTTGCTTTTCCACTGAACATACTTTTTGGAATGATGGCCCAAAACGTTCAACCTTGGTCTCATCAGACCATAGCACATTTCCCCACATGCTTTTGTCAGATGTGGTGTAGCATTTTGCAAAATGTAGCCAGGCTTGGATGTTTTCCTTTGTAAGAAATAGCTTCTGTCTTGCCACCCTACCTGACAGCCCAGACATATGAAGAATACAGTTGATTGTCACATGCCGTACACAACCAATACTTGCCAGAAATTCCCAGAGCTCTTTTAATGTTGATGGAGGGCTCCCGGCAGCATCCTGGACCAGTCTTCTTGTTTCTTCATCAATTTTGGAGGGGCATCCAGTTCTTGGTAATGTCACTCTTGTGCCGTATTTTCTCCACTTGTTGAGGACTGTCTTCCCTGGGTTCCATGGTATAGTCAATGCCTTGTTTTGTACCCTTCTCCTGACTGATACCTTCCAACAATGAGATCCCTTGTAGTTTAAATTATGCTATCTAAATATCTCCTCATAAGGAAAAGCTTTAAACTTGTATTCTCCATGGCCAATCCAATTAGGAAATATCAGTATAATTTGCCAGCAGAAACTTTAGAATCAAGCTTTGTTTCCTTAACTCCTTCCACCAAGCTACGGCCAACATCTGACACACCCTGAGAATCTCCTCTCTCTAGACCAGTGGTTCCCAACCTTTTTTTCGCCCCGCACCCCTAAAGAAATTTCACTCGAACCTCGCACCCCCTGAAATAAATAATAAATAAAAATGCCAACATATAGCCAATATCCTATTATTTACCTGGACTTTTCTCGCACCCCCTGGAATATTGTCTCGCACCCCCAGGGGGTACGAGCACCCCAGGTTGGGAACCCCTGCTCTAGACGATCGCTTTTCCAATTTATAAATACATTTTGATCACTAGAGGGAGCTATGAAGATCCTTAATCCTGAGCTCAAGTCTGTCATCAGGGCAATCTTTGAAAGCTTCTTACAGAAAATCACCTATAACATAAATCCACTAGGGACTAAAAATACAAATCATACAGATATTAAAAAAGAACAAGAGACACAATTAGGTGTAGAAAATTATCAACCCATTGTGACAACTCCACAAATACTGGACAATGCAAATAACTGCAACTTTGGAATATAAATCTGACACCAACTTCTATTACAATCATGGTTTGAATATAACCCTCCCAGCGCAATTGAAACAAGAGTGCCAAGTAAATTCACAATTTTTAAGAGGTCACGTTTGGGTTTTTTTCTTCATGGATACTAACAAGGTTGAAAATCCTTTGAGAAAAGAAAATCTAATAGACATCTCAGAGAAGATTTTTTTCGACCAGGAAGCACTCCAAGTTAATCTACAACTTTTAACAGAACAACTTTGGGAGAATTTCTTGAAGAAAAGAGACTTGATAGACATTCCTGAGACTTTATTCTAGGAAGATAAGCTGGAAGGAACAACTTAAATTTAATGACTTAGGATGGATTTTTATAAGTTTGATATATGTATTGAAAGAAAGCTCTACGGCAGTTTTGTATTTGTAAAATGAGTTTGTAGGTGAAAAAAGACAATAATGAAAAATTATAACTTAATAAAACTGTACTATTATCAGAATTATATAACTTGTCAAACATAAATATAAATATTTTATTTGTAACAAATAAGTTGTAAAATGTGATTAGAAAGGGGATATTTTTTAAATATAATAGTGGCATAGTTAAAAATCAGAAAGGGGATAAATAATGGAAGATTATAACCCAATATAGTGACTTTCTTTTAGAATTATATGTTTGTTAAACACCACATATATGATTAATACTTTATTTGTAGTTAAAAGAGGGATATTCAGAATAGGAGATTGACACAAAAGTAATATATTGAAATTGTGAATAATCAAAGAATGAAAGATTACAATTTTAGAAAATATGTGTATCAATGTTAAGATTGTCAACTGTATTAAATATGAAGAATATTGTCACATGTGTTCTAAAATGTAAGACACTCTGGTGCTACACTTCACACAATGTTTGTGTCAGCTTTAAAATTCAGCTGCCACATTTTTTAAAGAGAGTTGGAGGAGCTGAAAAGTTCAAGGTTATTCTGTATGTCGTATTAAGAAATTCCAGTGGTAGTTAATTGGTTCTCGTGATTTATGAAGTGTAGAAGTGGGAGGAGAGAAGGTGGAATCTGTGTAATGCGCAAAAATAATTTCACTTGGGAAATTGCCTTTGACATGCCAGATCTGTTTCTAAATAAATCAATTGGAGAGAAAATGTCTCGGAACGATTGATATAATGGATACTTTCTGGATGCCTTACGTTTAACATTTATTTCCCAAGTCAAACTGTTATTTTTTGAAGGGGCTTGGCTGATACCCCGGAGTTCTTTTTCCTGAGATGGAAAATTATCAACAATCAGCCGAAGTTGGAGATATGCAGGGGGAGAGTATGGGGGCACTCTCTCCAGAACATTAATTGAATCTGCAAGCCTTTGTTTGGAGGAGATGATGGATGCTTTCAGAATGACAGTAGAGTCAAGAAGTTGTTATAACCCAGAGGTAACCCAGCTGGTTGAAGAGAAATCTTTCACGAGCCCCAGGCAGTTTGCTATTCTGTCTGATTGGAGGGAGACTATACAGATGCCAGTTGGAGGAAGCCAGAAAGACGCATCAACTGACAGAGGTATGTTGCAGCCTCCGAATCCCCTCATTTTCCAGAGGGAATTTTGCCCCCTGCAGAGAGTATCCGTCCAGAGTGGGGATTTTATCCAGGCCAGGGGTGGATTCAATGCCAATGGCAGCCAGCACTAACCCAGCCCTGGTCTGAAGGGGGATTACCCAGACAACAGACAGCAGCCACTTCCCCTCCACCTGACCAGGGAACCAGGCCACACCCATCTTCCTCCTGGCAACCACAAATGCAGCCCCAACCGGCAGCGAGGCCACAGGGACCCCATTCCAGAGAGGCACCACCCAGCAAGGATACAGGGGGCCTACCCAGCCTATGCACACCAGGCCGGTTCCTTTCATTCCAGTACAACCTGCAGGGGGCTGGACTGTGCCACCTCCGCAACCACGACTCAGGCCAGACCAAATACCCTTTAAGGCCATGTTCGATGGCCACCATGAACATTTCAATTACTTCCTCACTTGAATCCGATCCCATATAGAACAATTTGGAGATCAATACGCCACAGAGCACGATTTGGTTATGGTCATAACAAATGGGATGAATGAAGGGGATGCTTCAGACTGGGTGGCCCAACTACACAACGAACAAGCCCCTGAATTACATGATGTAAATGGATTTATTGAATTATTAAGACTCAGATTTGAAAATCCAGACAGGGTAGCAGAGAATGAAGAGAAGTTAATGGAAATGAGGCAAGGCAATCGACCCTTGTCAGAATTTATTTGGGACTTTAGAAGGGTCGCAAGCCACCTCATGGATTGGCCTGAAAGAATGACTTTACACTATTTTAAAAATGCCATTGATCCAGAAGTAAAGGAGGCCTGTGAAATTAGGGGAATCCCAGAGACCTTACAATCGTGGTATGTCACATCCCTCAGCTTAGATCGCAGCATCAACCCACACAGGAAAACCCTTCCGGCAGCCCTGCCTAAGAGAATTGTGGCTAGGAGACCGCCGACCAGATCAGCTGAACCTGCTCATACCCAACCTACCAGGGTGCTGAAATGTTACCGATGTGGCCAAGCCGGCCATAGAACAGCAGACTGTCTCACACCTGCTCCTGTACCACA